ATGTGCCACACTTCACGTGCCACACTTCATGAAACACTGGTCAACAGGGCTTACTTCACGCCCAGCCCCACATCTTGTAGGTAGACAGTGGTTCCATTTCATCCTGTTCTTATTTATATTTAGGCAGGTTGTGTTCCCTCTTGTGTGTGTTTGACTTTGTGTGATCTTTTTGCTCAGTGGCTTTCTGGTCATGATGTGATTACATTTTCTCATTAGTTATGGAAGGTAAAGGTGACCTGAGCAGTGAGGAGGCACCTGAGATGATCAAACCCATGAGGAAAGTCTTCAGCAAAACCCGGGGATTCGGAAGAACAACTGTTGCTAAGCGAGAGGGTGTGGGAGATGTGGAGGCTGGCTCACAGGGGCAGCAGCCCCCACGGCAGCACAGCCTGGCTTTGGGATGCAGTGGGATGTGGCCACAGTGCACCGAGCCAGTGCAGGAATCCCTTCCAATAGTTCACCACCGAGGAAGGAAGAACGCTCATGTCTCCTTTGAGGATTCCAATGAGCCAACGTCTTGTCCCGTCCCAGATGTTGAAACTGCCTTGGAAGGGAGCATAGGAAGTACCTCTGAGATGAATAGTGGCCCCCACTCTGGTTTCTTGAGTGTACAGGAGCGACCTCCCTCTTCTGGAAAGGCCACAGGAGGAGAGGACAAGGAGGACACCTCTGACAATGACAGTGATGGCCTGACTTTGAAGGAGCTTCAGAATCGCCTTTGGAGAAAGCGAGAGCAAGAGCCACCTGACAGGCCCCTGAAAGGCATCCAGAATCACCTGAGAAAGAAGCATTGGGAGGAGAATCCCACAGAAACTGTGCATGTCGAGGCAGGCACTGCTGTCGAGAATGCTCTGCCCAGCAAGCAAGAGCCAGAGACTGTCCAGAGGGTTGTGTCCCAGGCAGTGACCGATGACCAAGAGAGTCAGCGGGAGAGGACAACAGCTCAGCAAGTTAAAGATGAAGAGAGCAGGGACTCGGGCAAGCCTAAGCCTGAATGTGAGCTGCACGACCCCAACACCCTGGACCGCATGTGTCTCCAGCCTCGTAACAACAGGTGGGTCATGGGAGGATAGGGATGGGCTGCCCCAGCTGTAAAAGAAATTCGAGTGATGAAAATAGTGTTTATATTTGTTTTGATTTTAAATGTTACAAAGCTAGGCTGGATGAATAATTTGTTCATTCAAAAAAGACGAACACATCATTATCAAAAAAGGAACGAAAGGTATGCATAGAGCCACCCCTCCCCTGTGGTAGCCACTGGACATGTGGCTGTTTACAGTCAAAGTGATGAGCATGGGAGGAGGTGAGAAGCCCCTACCCCCCACCCAGCCATGTGCAGCCAGTGGCTGCCAGGTAGACCTCACGTGGTCTCAGGAATCTGTCAGAGAGTGCTCCCCTAGACTGTTCCTTGGGAGACAGCAGAGGGCCAGGTGCAGACTGTGGTTGAGCCCCAGTTTGTACCGGGGAGCAGCTCAGAGTCTTCGCTAGACTTTGGTGTTAAGGAATCTCTGTTGGCTTGTTGGTGGGACAAAGGCATCACTGCTGTTTTGAGGAGATGTTTTCTGAAGCAGTTAGGGTCCAATGCCTTGAAAGCCTATAGCTCACTCCAGCCAGAAAAGGATAAAGAAATTTAGTTGAATGTTAGGACAATCAAGAGAGGGACATATGTGTTCTTTGTTCTATTCTCTGTACTTTTCTGTATATTTGCA